AGGGAATTCGACCATGTTCGGGCTGTGATGATAAAAATTCTTGAACTTGATACTTTCATAAAACACGTGTCAGACCCACCCTTTTAGCCTAGCAGATCATCGAGCCAAACTATTGAGTTTGGCAACACCTGGTGGACCCAAATAGTGTCTTTATGCCTGGGCTTAGCATTCTTTTAGACGGCTTAGCATTCTTTTAGACGGCTTAGCATTCTTTTAGACGGCTTAGCATTCTTTTAGACGGCTTAGCATTCTTTTAGACGGCTTAGCATTCTTTTAGACGGCTTAGCATTCTTTTAGACCCAAATGTTGGGTTAGGCGTCATTTGCTAATCTCAAGTGTTGTTTAGATTTAGAAGATGCCAAATCCTATGCCAATTAGGTGTTACCATCCAAAGATAATTGAATCTAGTTAACACTAGAACCAACAATATATAGATCTAATGGTGGTCAGATCTAATAGTACCTGACTCTAACCAATGCCAGACCCTGCAAGTATTGACCAGAACCAATACGCTTAGGGTTTGGTATATTATCGAGCCCAACTACAGTTGTATCTTACTGATACTAGACCCAACATATCTAAGTTTGATATACTGTTAAGCCTAATAATGGTTGGATCTAGCTAGCATTATTCCCAACACGCATTGCCTTGGCCTACTGCCAAGCCAACCTATAGTTGGGTATAGCGCTAGCTAAACCCAATCAACATTTGGGTTTGGTTTCAACCAGACCAACTCGTATCTATTGATATATATTTGTGTTGGTATGCCTCAATTCAATATATTTAAAAATTTTAAAAAATTATATTTATATGTTTTTCTAGAATCAGTATCTTTTTATAAAAATATACTATAAAATCTTTGTGAATCTCAAAGTCTGGACTAAGTACAGAATTATAGAATTCAATTTAATAAATGTTATACCCTTTAAAATGAGACGGGCATGAGTTAAAGAAGAAGTGTAAGGTAGCAGCATCTCTTGGGCATTCAAGAAGTTTGAATTAGATATCAAGAGCAGCCTTGCGACTGACCAGCCATCCAAGTGGGAAAATGGAAATTGGCCGGCCGCCATCTCCCATGCGGTCTTTGTCTACCAACTATTCAAGCGAGTGTAAATGGAAATTGACAGAAATGCTAAAAGGGAAGAGGGATTGCAAGATAATTAATTAGAGACTCCGCCGCCTCAGTCCACCGTTTACAATTAGTTTCACTATTTACTAAATAAATTTGATTTTTTTTTTAAGGTTAGATAATTCTTTCAAGGCAATGTTTATTGATACGGAGAGTGTTAAAATAGAACCGTGAAATGCACATATATTGTAAATGCCTACATAATTTGTGTTTGACTGGTAAGAAGAAGAAGAAGAAGAAGAAGAAGAAGAAGCTAAATGGATCATAAATATGGGATTCACATGGTTTGATTTGAGGTTTCAATTTAAGTGGTAAAGGAGATGACATTTTTCTTAGTAATTATACCAATGCTATTGAAATAAAAAAAAAACTAAAATAGCTATTGAAATTATTTTCGAGCATGACATATCTGTTTGTGTTTTTTAGTTAGAAATTATTTTTCACATTAAATTAATTTTTTTAATATTCTCATATCGTTTTAATATAATAATA